ACCCCACAGAGTGTCTAGATGTGACTAAGAGACACCCACAGAGTGTCTAGATGTGACTAAGAGACACCCACAAGTGTCTAGATTGACTAAGACACCCACAGAGTGGTCTAGATGTACTAAGAGACACCCAAGTGTGTGCTAGATTTGACTAAGAGACACCCACAGTGTTCTACATGTGACTAAGAGACACCCACAGGGTGTCTAGATGTGACTAAGAGACACCCACAGAGTGTCTAGATGTGACTAAGAGACACCCACAGAGTGTCTAATGTGACTAAGAGACACCCACAGAGTGTCTAGATGTGACTAAGAGACACCCACCAGTGTGTCTAGATGTGACTAAGATACACCCACAGTGTGTCTAGATGTGACTAAGAGACACCCACGATTTGTCCTAGATGTGACTAAGAGACACCCACAGGTGTTCTAGATGTGACTAAGAGACAACCCACAGTGCTGTCTATATGTGACTAAGAGCCACCCACAGTGTTGTCTAGATGTGACTAAGAGCCACCCACAAGAGTGTCTAGATGTGACTAAGAGGACACCCACAGTGTGTCTAGATGTGACTAAGAGACACCCACAAGTGTGTCTACATGTGACTACGAGACACCCCACAGTGTGTCTAGCTGTGACTAAGAGGACACCCACAGAGTGTCTAGGATGTGACTAAGAGACACCCACCGCGGTCTAGCTGTGACTAAGAGACACCCAACAGAGTCGTCTAGATGGTGACTAAGAGACCACCCACAGTGTGTCTAGATGTGACTAAGGAGGACACCCACAGAGTGTCTAGATGTGACTAAGAGACACCCACAGAGTGTCTAGATGTGACCTAAGAGACACCCACAGCTGTGTCTAGATGTGACTAAGAGGACACCCCACCAGAGTGTTAGATGTGACTAAGAGGACACCACAGAGTGTCTAGATGACTAAGAGACACCCACAGAGAGGGGTTCCAGAGACACCCCACAGGGGTGTCCTACATTGTTGACTAAGAGACCCCACAGGAGTGTCTAGATGTGACTAAGAGACCACCAGCAGGTGTCTAGATGTGACTAAGAGACACCCACAGAGTGTCTAGATGTGACTAGAGACACCCACAGAGTGTCTAGATGTGACTAAGGACACCCACAGAGTGTCTAGATGTGACTAAGAGACACCCACAGAGTGTCTAGATGTGACTAAGAGACACCCACAGAGTGTCTAGATGTGACTAAGAGACACCACAGGTGTCTAGATGTGACTAAGAGACACCCACAGTGTTCTAGATGTGACTAAGAGACACCCACAGATGTGTCTAGATGTGACTAAGAGACACCCACAGATTGTCTAGATGTGACTAAGAGACACCCACAGAGTGGTCTAGATGTGACTAAGAGACACCCACAGAGTGTCTAGATGTGACTAAGAGACACCCACAGAGTGTCTAGATGTGACTAAGAGACACCCACAGAGTGTCTAGATGTGACTAAGAGACACCCACAGAGTGTCTAGTGTGACTAAGAGACACCCACAGAGTGTCTAGATGTGACTAAGAGACACCCACAGAGTGTCTAGATGTGACTAAGAGACACCCACAGCGTGTCTAGATGTGACTAAGAGACTAAGAGACACCCACAGAGTGTCTAGATGTGACTAAGAGACACCCACAGAGTGTCTAGATGTGACTAAGAGACACCCACAGCGTGTCTAGATGTGACTAAGAGACTAAGAGACACCCACAGCGTGTCTAGATGTGACTAAGAGACACCCACAGAGTGTCTAGATGTGACTAAGCACGCAGTAGCTCAAGGACATGGACAGCACTGAGTCAGTTTAATATGCAGTCTGTGGAAAAGTTTAGTCAAAACAATGTAGTCTAGAGGTTTATTATATAGGTTTATATAGGATTAAAACAGTATATTCTAGAGGTTTTCCCAACCAACGTGTGGTTGTGAGAATGCTTAATTTTTACCTGTATTTGAAATCAAGGCGTGCAAACGTCTCCACCTACGTGTGTTCGTATGTGTGTTGAACTTTTTTCGCACCGTACGTACACCCACCGTGCTTTACTGCTAATACACAGCAATTTGTTTCGCTATGTCGGGTGGTGGAGGGGTCTTACGACAACAACAATTGGCCAGATAATTGCGTGGACCGAATCCAAAAATCGAACGTGAGTCCTCACGTTTGCTGCGAAATAACACAGCACACGTGATGTTCACTCTGAAGTTGTGGTCTTTGCAAGCCTTGTGTTGTATGTGTGTGCTTGAGTGTTTGTTTGTGCATGTGTGTATGTGTGTGTTGTGTGTGTGTATGAGTGTGTTGTGTGTGTGCATGTGTGTATGAGTGTGTTTGTGTGTGGAGGGAGCGGTACTGCAACGGGTCGTGCGCTGCGCTACGTACTGGTACTGGGCCTCCTCTAGTTCGACTCAGCCTCAAATGAGTGCCAGGTGCGATGTATGCAAACATCGCCACTGGGGAGACAAAGGCGGGCGCGCTGGTGCTGGCCACCCACCCCCTCGTGTACCGTGCCGACATTCATAGGTGCTCGCTAACCGCAGTGTGTTCAGGCCAGACGGAGAATCTTTGTCGCTGTGTGTTTGTGTGACGAGCAGAGGGACTTGTTGAATGCCCAGGAAGATGAAATGCTGTGTTGGAGACACTGAGCTGGGCACCGCCAAGAGCCTGGGATCATGTCCAGGTGTTAGCCACCCCATGATTAAACTGGCCTCAGTCCTGGCCATTCATAACAAGCACAGAGACCCATAGACTCACGTATAAACCCACAGTCTTACACAGAGACCCATAGGCTCACATAAAACCCATCGTCGTCCACAGAGACCTATATATTCACATATAAACCCACAGTCTTATACAGGCACCAATAGGCTAGCAAATAAACCCACAGTCTTCACACAGAACCCCATAGGCTCACATAGAAACCCACAGTCTTCACACATCCATTCCCTTCCACAAGCACGCGTGCCCGCACACACACACACTCACTCGCAGCGACATGCTGTGACTCGTTCCATCTCGCGGAGGATCGCTCCACTAAACAAAATAGTTCCTCCGTTGAGTTCGCAAGTGTGAATTCACGTCCGCAAGTCGATGTTTAAAAAAATAAAAATGATGAAAAAGAAGAATCGGCTTTACCCTTTCTGGCAATAAAGCAGGAGGTGCTAAATACATACTTCACACATCCTTGTGAAATAACATGCAGACAAACTTGCTATGATAATATATGCATTTTTTAATAAACTGATTGGCCTACACCAGAGACAGCCTTCTCCATGGCCTTGTCTCCCCAGCGTCAGACCAGAGAACAACGCGAAAAGTAGAACAGTGCAAAGGTAATGGACGTATCTCATGGAAGGTGCTTCGCAATTGCGGCTGTTCGCAAGCCGGCTCTTCGTAAGTGCGGTGTTCCTAAGTGCGGTGTTCGTAACTGCGGTGTTCATAAGTGCGGTGTTCGTAACTGCGGTGTTCGTAAGTGTGGTGTTTGTAAGTGCGGTGTTCATAAGTGCAGTGTTCGTAAGTGCAGTGTTCGTAAGTGATGTGTTCGTAAGTGCAGTGTTCGTAAGTGAGGTGTTTGTAAGTGCGGTGTTCGTAACTGCGGTGTTCGTAAGTGCGGTGTTTGTAAGTGCGGTGTTCGTAACTGTGGTGTTCATAAGTGCGGTGTTCGTAACTGCGGTGTTCGTAAGTGCGGTGTTTGTAAGTGCGATGTTCGTAACTGCGGTGATCGTAAGTGCGGTGTTCATAAGTGCGGTGTCCATAACTGTGGTGTTCGTAAGTGCGGTGTTCATAAGTGCGGTGTTCGTAAGTGAGGTGTTCGTAAGTGTGGTGTTCGTAAGTGTGGTGTTCATAACTGCGGTGTTCATAACTGCGGTGTTCATAAGTGTGATGTTCATAAGTGCGGTGTTCATAAGTGTGGTGTTCATAACTGCGGTGTTCATAACTGCGGTGTTCATAACTGCGGTGTTCATAACTGCGGTGTTCATAACTGCGGTGTTCATAAGTGTGGTGTTCGTAAGTGGGATGTTCGTAAGTGAGGTGTTCGTAAGTGTGGTGTTCATACGTGTGCTGTTCGTAACTGCGGTGTTCGTAAGTGCGGTGTTCGTAAGTGCGGTGTTCGTAAGTGCGGTGTTCGTAAGTGTGGTGTTCGTAAGTGAGGTGTTCGTAAGTGCAGTGTTCGTAAGTGCGGTGTTCGTAAGTGTGGTGTTCGTAAGTGAGGTGTTCGTAAGTGCGGTGTTCGTAAGTGCGGTGTTCGTAAGTGCGGTGTTCGTAAGTGCGGTGTTCGTAAGTGCGGTGTTCGTAAGTGTGGTGTTCGTAAGTGAGGTGTTCGTAAGTGCAGTGTTCGTAAGTGAGGTGTTCGTAAGTGTGGTGTTCATACGTGTGGTGTTCATAACTGCGGTGTTCGTAAGTGCGGTGTTCATAAGTGTGGTGTTCGTAAGTGGGGTGTTCGTAAGTGAGGTGTTCGTAAGTGAGGTGTTCGTAAGTGCAGTGTTCGTGAGTCGGGTGTTCATAAGTGAGGTGTTCGTAACTGTGGTGTTCGTAACTGCGGTGTTTGTAAGTGAGGTGTTCGTGAGTGACGTGTTCGTAAGTGAGGTGTTCGTAAGTGCGGTGCTTGTAAGTGCGGTGTTCGTAAGTGCGGTGTTTGTAAGTGCGGTGTTCGTAAGTGAGGTGTTCGTAAGTGCGGTGTTCGTAAGTGCGGTGTTCGTAAGTCAGGTGTTCGTATGTGCAGTGTTCGTAAGTCGGGTGTTCGTAAGTGCGGTGTTCGTAAGTGCGGTGTTCGTAAGTGAGGTGTTCGTAAGTCGGGTGTTCGTAAGTGAGGTGTTCGTAAGTGTGGTGTTCGTAAGTGCGGTGTTCATAAGTCGGGTGTTCGTAAGTGAGGTGTTCGTAAGTCAGGTGTTCGTAAGTGTGGTGTTCGTAACTGCGGTGGTCGTAAGTCGAGGACTGCATGGCATCGACGTTGGTTGTAAAACCCTCGATGTCCCGTTGGTCCCGTGCCACAGATGCTCCCCGAGCGTTGCGCAGCCTTCGCTCTGCGAGGGGCTGAAGAGCAACCCCTCCAAGCGGCACCGCGAGCGGCTCAACGCGGAGCTGGAGAAGCTAGCGCAGCTGCTGCCCTTCCCGGACGAGGTGCGCGCCAAGCTGGACAAGCTCTCCATCCTGCGCCTCTGCGTCAGCTACATTCGGGCCAAGAGCTTCTTGAGCGGTGAGTGGAGCTCCGTGCGGGGGACGACGATCTGTGTGCACGTACTTGCGTGCGGACGTTGCATGTGCGTTGGACTTCGACCGTGCCGTACGTAGCCAACCGTGCGAATTGGAGGGGCCGCGCTGAGCGACCCACAGGCACACACCGACACCAATGGGCTCACGCAGAGGCCCACGTAGGTGATGAGACCAGGGTTTCAAGTGTAGTCGGTCGATCAGCAGGCCACGCGTAAGGTGTGGGTGCTGCCACCTTTGCCACGACAGTTTGTCGAGCGTGCAGGCGTGGGCCAAATTATCGTCAGGGGCAGGGCTCTTTTCCTTCACTGCAGCCTTGGACCTCTTTGGTTCTCAATCGTAAACAAAACTGCATCATATTCTTGGTTCTTTCGGTAAAGTCACGTAGAAGGGAAATCATAAAATAATAAAAATATAACGTGACTTTACCGAAACAACCAAGAATATGAATCCCTGCAGTTACGAAAGCTTTTAATAAAAATTTTTATCATGTCAATAAGTACATAGAGGGTTTGGTGAAACAAAGTAAGTTGTACTTACGTGCCCGTGCTTAATTTGTATTTCGACGATTTACCTTCCAAGAAATCTGGCCACGTCTCGCACCCCAGGGGATGCATCTCGCCCCCCCAGCAGCTTAAGAAGAAGCACTGCTCTAGGGGGTGCTCTCTAGAGCTCCCTCGAGTGGAGACAGCTCCACCGGCAGTGGCGTGAGCGAGCCGTTGCAGGGCTGCGCCTTTAGCCTAACAAACCACAACAATTACAGAGCAGTGCAAGTTCGAGAAAGAACAAACTCAAAGGCAGTTTTCTTTATGCAGAGCCCGTTCCTTCGGTTAATTTATTTCTCTAAAAAAATGCATTCATAGCTATAAACGATTTCTAATTAACCAGGTAAGGCCCACGGAGCTATATCACTCTTTTTCAGAAGCGACCTGGCCACAAATGATAGCTCAACCAGGTGGGCTTATCATCATCACGCGGAAATCTACAGCAGCCAAATAGTCTAAACGCGTGCTTATTAATGTGGAGGGAAAACAACCGGAGGACCGGGAAAAAAACTATACACGGGACCGCAGGGAGAGAGCGAGAGACACATGCAAACTCGAAATATACAGCAGGCGTCAGATTCGAGACCGCTCCCACGACCTCCTGCGTACCAGGAGAGGGAGTGAACATCTCGCCGCCGCGGCCCGCACACCTGCTCGCCTGGAAATGGCAGCACAAAGGGGAATTGAGTCCCGGCTACCGCACTCGAGCCCGCCATGACCACTTCCAGGGCGCCCTTTCGATTCCCCGCTTCGCCTCGGCTCTCAGCCGGCACCTGGGCTCGGGGAAACGCCGTCAGGTGCGCGCGTGCGGATTTGAGCTGCGTGCAGCGGGGTCGATTGCCACCAACACCAGGGACGGTTCCATTTGGACCGATCCTGGGCCTCCCCTAGGTCGACTCGGCCTCAAATGAGTACGTGTGTATATTCGCAGCCAACCGTGATAATAATCGGAGGTGCGGGAGAAGGACGACGAGCTAAACACGCAGAGAGGAGTCTTCTATCTAGAGGACGATTTGAAATTGCATTGTTCCGGTGGCGTCCGTAATGTCGGAAGGAAGAGCGTTCCAGACGGCCGCTGAAGCGCATCTGAAAGCGCGGCGCGATGCGGTGACCGCCGCCTTTGTTCGATGCTGCGAGGATGACAGACGTCCGCGTGATGGTGGTCGATGCTCGTTGACCAACTGGTGCGGTGTGTAAACATCGCAACTAGGGAGACAAAGGCGGCCGAGCGTAGTGTTGGTCACCCACCACGTCTTGCACTAACAGCACTTGCCCTCGCAGTCTTTTAACGGCTATATGGGGGATCTTTGTATTTGCAGTGGGGAGCGGTGGCGCAGTGGTTTGCGCACCGCGCTACAAAACCGGCGACTCGGGTGCGATTCCCGTTCACGGCCAACAGCAGTGGCTAAATATGTTAACTGGTCATGGGCCTACCCCTAGATCGACTCAGCCTCAAATGCGTACCCGGTGCGGTGTGTAAACATCAGTACACTGGGAAGACAAAAGCGGCCGGGCGTGGTGTTGGCCACCCACCCCCTCGGCCTCGATAAATCGCTCGCGAGCAGCACTTGCCCCAACACTCTCGTGAAGGCTACACGGCGGAGGTCTCTGTCTTTGTTCCCACTGCACGGGCGCTCTTCCTAAAGCGCTGTTCACCCACGGCACTCGCCGCAGTCGCCTTCACGATCACTCGCTTCCAACGCCGTCACAGCATCGCCAATTCACCGCCAGTTCACCGCCATCCACTCGGAGGCGTCCACGCGTCCGCCGAGGCATCGCCGGGCGCGTGGCGGCGTGCGAACGGTCTCCTCGCACTGCGCTCTGCGACCCAGAGGGGACTCCCGCGGTGAGATTCCATCGCCCGGAGAGGCCCTTCTCGTCCCCCTTCTCGTCCCCCTCTGTCGCCCGCGACCGCCGCAGCCTCGGCCGCCCTGACCGGCGGCACGGATGGGTTACGGCGCAGGTCGCGAGCGGTGTGGTCAGGCGTGGTTACTGCCGTCTCTTCCGACATGTATGGCCTGCACCATTGAAAAGTAAAACTACGAATACATACGCTTTGGTTATTTCGGTAAAGTCACGTTGGTAGAAAAATAAAATACAAATATATATATCACGACGTTTCGATCGCAACACAAGCGGTCGTCCTCAGGCGGAAAAAATCATCCGGCAGTATTTTATTCTTCTACCTACGTGACTTTACCGAAATAAATTTCGATTTAAAGCTTTCGTGACTGCAGGGATTCATCTTCTTGGTTCTTTCGGTAAAGTCACGTAGAAGGGAAGCAATAAAGCAGCAGCAGCAGCAACTGTAGCTCCCTTTGATGCTGTTAATCCTGCATAATGCACATGCATATGCAGTACTAATCACATTCCTGCATTTCCCATGAATATGCTAAATTCCTCTTGATATGCAAATTCCTTTGTCAATGCGCCCAGCTTATATATATGCTCCAAGCTCGTGTGCTGCTTCATTCAGACTCTGTCGCCTCGACGGACCTGGTTTTCACCTGAGGACGGCTGCTTGCGTTGTGGCCGAAACGTCGTGAGAATTATTTTATTATGTTTTATTTTTATTTTTATTATTTTATTACTTCCCTTCTACGTGACTTTACCGAAAGAACCAAGAAGATTTACCGAAATAACCAAAGAGTATTGATTCCTAGTGTCACGAAAGCTTCAAATCAAGATACAAATATGAAGATGTTTTTTAACCAGGTAAGGGTCACTGAGCTGCTTTATAGCCCAATTCCAGAAGCGACCTGGCCACAAATGATAGCTCAACGAAGTGGCTCGTCATCATCGTCATCACGTGGACATTCACAGCAGCAGCCGAATAGTCTGTGAACGCGTCGTGTTGATTCTCAATGTGGAGGGAAGAAACCCGGAGGACGCGGAAAAAATCCACGCGACCACGGCGAGAGAGAGAGAGAGGAGAGACACACAAACTCCAAATATACAGCAGCAGGCGTCAGGATCGGGATCGAACCCACGACCTCCTGTATACCTGGCGAGGGAGTTAACATCTCCTAGCCACCGTGATGATGATGGGAGAGACACACAAACTCCAAATATACAGCAGCAGGCGTCAGGATCGGGATCGAACCCATGATCTCCTGTACACCAGGCGAGGGAGTTAACATCTCCTAGCCACCGTGATGATGATGGGAGAGACACACAAACTCCAAATATACAGCAGCAGGCGTCAGGATCGGGATCGAACCCATGACCTCCTGTACACCAGGCGAGGGAGTTAACATCTCCTAGCCACCGTGATGATGATGGGAGAGACACACAAACTCCAAATATACAGCAGCAGGCGTCAGGATCGGGATCGAACCCACGACCTCCTGTACACCAGGCGAGGGAGTTAACATCTACTCGCCACCTCGGGAGAGAAGTAGGCCAAATACCCCTTCTCGAAAACGCTCCACGGAGCTCCGCAGAGCCGGACATTGCAGTGCTGCGCCTCTGCCAGTTTGTAGACTCCGAAGAGAGTCGGAGCCAACCGAGAGGAGGGGGAGGGGGGGGAAGCCGTTGAGACGTTTCGCGACCGCAACCTTCACCTTCCACGTTCCCACCCCTCTTGCGATTTGTCATTAATTAATTGATTATTCAAAAACAACAGCCTTGCCTCCCGCCTCCTCCACAATGCTTGCTGAAGTTGTTTTCTTCGACAGCTCACGTTGTCTAACTGCGAGGGTGGGGTGGGTGGTGGTGGGGTTGGGGGATGTTGGAGAACTTCAAACGAATGTCTGAGAAAACATTGGCTTCGGGGGAGAAGGGTAAAATAAATTGTGAACGTCAAAGGGGGCGGGGGGTGGAGACGGGGGTGTAGATCGCGATTGTCTAGCGAGGGACAGCTGCTGGGATGACCCCACCCCTCCCGCCGCTCTCGTGTCGATGATCATCAATTAAGTTGACTCCTCCATCAGCCACGAGCAGCAGCAAGCGGGCGCGTCCATTGTTACACTGGGGGAGCGACTTTGTCGGGCCCGGGGCATCCCCCCCACCACCCCTCCCCCCCGGCTCACGATCATCGGAAGGTGCCGATGATGATGACGGTGGCGCTGGTGACGACGATGATGACGGTGGCGCTGGTGACGACGATGATGATGATGATGACGCTGGTGATGACGATGATGACGATGATGACAAACCTGTCAACCTCTCATCAGTGCCCTACCTTATTACACACCAGTTCAGACCGTAGTGGTCACCCCGTGCCCCCTTGTAAAACTCAACGTTCATCCGACAAAGTCCCATCACAGGGGAGAAACACTCGCAAAGAGACGATCACAGTTTGTGTCGCGCGTATTGAAACGGCTGTACGCCGTAAGGACCTGCAAGCTACATTTCCCTGTTCAGGAAAACGGGGTAAACCGTGTGGGTTGACAGCGATGTGATGATCGAGGTGGGAATGAAGGTGGCCTCGGGGGCAAAT